GACTATAGACTTTGAGATTATGCACTTTTATAAAATCTCATATAATTAATTGATCATGAAAATCTATCTACTAAAACCAAAATTCTTAAAACAAAAAAAAAAAGAAAAAGAAAAAGAAAATTAACCCAATAAAAATAATTGAATTTATTTTTTATAACTAACACACTCTTAATTAAACTTGATTATGTAGGATAATTAACTGAAATTATAATTATCTTAAAGTTTTTCAAAGTTTATTGAAAAAATTAAGTTAAAATTATTCATCAACTAATATTATTAGGTTTATATATCTTCAAACTTGGTACATATATTTTTCGGGTGAGTTTTCTTTTTCCCCTCAAAAGGAGTGATCGAATTTAGCTATACATATATATATATATATATATATATATATATATACAAACATTTCAATTAAAAGGACCCCTCCATATTCATGCACCCAAGAGAGAATTTCCATAAACTAAAGGGTGGCATATGCATACGTACATATATATATATATATGTGATATATGTATACTGTTTAGAACTTTTAATTTAAAAAATAGATTTAAGAAAACAAAAAAAGAGAAGTTGAATTTCCAATTTAGTACATCAATCATATGTGCCGACACTATGGAAAATTCAGAAGTCAAATGTTTACTAAGAGAAATAAAAAAATTTGAAGTCAAAAGCATATCTCCTAACTTTCTGGGTGGTTTGATAATTAACAAATAATTTAGAATTTTCTCAATACACTGTGTTTAATTACTATGCGTATATATATATATATATATATATATATATATAATGGCTAAGATGCCAAAATTTTTCGATCACATTAATGACTACTTGATATTAATTTGCCTGTAAGAACCATTTAATGATGTTCAACTAATAATCACGTTGTTTTGATATATTATTAAAATAAAGTTTACTCACCACAGCAGGTTAGAAATATTTTATACAATCAAAAATTATTTATACTTGGTGTGATATTCCCATCTTCCATTGAAATCAATATAAAATCTCATGTTATAGATTTATTAATAATTTAAAGTTGATAATCTAGATTTGAATTAGTAATTTTTTTAGCTAGATATAGTAGAATAATATTGTTTGTATTTATGCATATATATATATATTATTTATCTTCTACTCTCAACATATAATTATCATTGAGGTTATGCATGGTTTACATCTATTGGTGAGTCTCAATTTGTGTTTGCAATTTTTTAGGGTCATATAGAAATTTCTCCATTATATTTGCACCATGCCTATGTTAATTTCTATAATTCTACATTGAAAATAATACATATATATAGATGGAGTTTTATTTAAGGTTCAAATTTCACAATATCAAGTATTTAAACTTGAAATGAAAGGAAGTATGGAAACTGGAGGTTAAAGAAGGATTAAAATTATTATATATTCGATAATTAATTTGTTTAAATTATTTAAAAATTATAGTTTTACTCACTAACAATCAAAGAAAGATGTATTCACACGCTGATTGCAAAGTGAAGGAGATTAGGAAGAATTTCTTTTTAAAAAAAAAAAAAAAAAATTATTAAATACGGTATTGAAACTTAAACATTATGAAATATTTTTTCAATAAAATCTCGTAATAGTTCACTAAAATAAAATTTAATTTAATTATTAATTTTGGTAAATCAAGTATTATATATTGACTATTATTATTATTTTATAACAATGCACTTATAAAATTTATAAATTTTATATTTTTAATTAATTAATTAATAATACGGCTAATATCACGTGACTTAAATATGTTTATGCAGGTAATATGTGTGAGCGGTGGTGGGGCTGAAGGCAAAGGGAGCAGGCAGGGACATGGGTTGGCTAACACCCTTTGAATTTTTTCTTTTTTTTTTTTTGCCCTTTGGAAAGGGAATAGAAAAATCATGTCTTAAATTCAAAATCAACCACAAAATTTTGATACACACACACACACACATATATATATATATAATCATTTGCGTCCCTCCCTAACCCACTTCTTTTCACATTAAAATATACACGTGATTAATTATTCAAATATTATTTATAATTTATATTCATGAGCAACTATAGCAATAACCCAAAACACAATAAACTTTTTGTTATGGAAACATATAATAATTAATAATTAGTTATGTCGGAGGTAAAAGAATTAAGAATGAATCAAAGTCAAATGGGGGCCATTAAGCCAATTACTTGTCTCCCCTTACCCAATATTGCAATGTTTTGTTGCTCAAAATATTCAACATTTTCTTTTCATTTTATCAACTATCAAATATGAATGCATTTAGCACAATAAACGAAATATATTCCGGTGTATAGAAATATGAATTTGTATGCGCACATTTAAAAACGTAGTCTATGATTTGTAAAGAATATTAAAATGTAATGTACCTCTAAAGAAATTTATGGTTTCAAATCCTTATTGGTATTATTAGTTATATTAAATTTTACAATTGTTTGCTTTTATAACATAATTTAGGTCAAGTAGTACAATAGGGTTTCAGCATGCTTAATTTTGTATAACACTATCATATCAGTTTTAACAAGATTTAGAAACCAGACATGACTTCAAACTCCAAGCAAAATAATAACAAAAACAAGACTAGATTTAGCTACATCATCTAAAGTCTGCTCCCAAAAAAACATATGTTTAGACAAATGTAAAAGACGGATATGAATAAGTTCACTTGACTGGATGGTAATACTTCTTTAGTTTCAAGCTGAGTAGTAGGGGTTAAATAATCATATGTTACATACACATAAGAAATCACTATCTCTTTTTCCCAACCTTTCCAAATGTTGTGTGACTAGAACTAACTGTAATATCCTTTTACAACACAAGCAAATAATACAAAATACTAACTTTGAAAAATTTTCAAAAACCAATTGTCCGAAACATGAAGTTCGATTGATGTAAGAAATTAAACCCAGCAACCAAACACAGATGCCGTGTTTTTTAAGACCCCACTCTTCACCAAGAAACAGTGTAAATGAAGTATCAAATGTTGCATTAAATTTAGATGGTCCCATAATGTTCCTAGGAAATTTCAGCTGCATTTCCCCCTTCCCTTCAAACCACCAGTATAAATCCTTCTCTTTGGGGTCCCCAAATTTAAGCAGAAATCCAAGGGAGAAAAGCATACTACCAGGATTTAGAGATCTCAAGAAAAGCAAAGAGTGTGTACTAAAACTGTACTTTTGAAAATGTGTTTGAGCAAGAAAAGTTGGGGAGGAAGATATGAAGGAATCATGAGAATCAGGCTTGCTTTGAAAAAGCTACAGACAGGTCTCTCATTCCTCCTGGCACCTAGAGGACCCGATTATCTTAATTATTTTCGGTTGAATGAAGATTTGGAAGCTGAAAAAATGGATGTGATGAAAGGACATTTTGTTGTCATTGCAGTTAAAGGTGGGACTTCGAAGAGGTTTATGGTGGAGCTTAGCTGTCTCACTAACCCAGCATTCTTGAAGTTGCTAGAAAAGGCCAAAGAAGAGTTTGGGTTCGAACAGAAGGGACCTATTGCAATCCCTTGCAAACCTGAAGAGGTACAGAAGATTTTGGATGAGTGGAGGAAGAAATCTCTACTTTTGAAAGCTTGCTTACATCTCTAAGTCAATTTCTATGGAACTGGGAGATGCAAATTGTTGTTTTTCTAAACATTTTGAAGCCCACTTCTCAAGGCCAAGTTCTTTTGATTTCTTGGACCTGAGATAGATTTTTTTTTTTTTTGGTCTATGCCTTCTTTCGTGACCAGCTTTACTGTGTTCAAACATCATACTCACATATACATGTATCAATAGAAGAAATTATACAAATGCAACTATATTACAACATATATCACTTTTTTTTTTTCAAATTAACCTTATCACTATACTACCAAGGCAGAGCACTAAGTATGATCATTTGCCTAGACTATTAGTAAGAGATTTTTTAATATCAGTATAGCAATCCTCTGGAAATGAATTAGACTAGCTAGGATGTTCTTCTAAATTTTGCTAAGTTTATTGAATTCGAGCATCTAAGTAGGAAGAAGTGGAACTGGATTGGACTAGCTACAATGTTCCTCTAAGTTTTGTTAAATAAAATTGAATTCAAGCCCACATTTTATTGAAATGAAGAAGCAGATCTACATCTTTATATTACTGAAAGTCATTCTTATTTCTGAAAATTATATTTCATCAGTTATAATTCAAATAATATTGTATATGCTTCTAAATTGTTGCTAAACCATGTACATTCATATTGCAGAAACATTTGGCCAAATTCAAGGTACATTCTCATTTCCTCAAAACTCGTATTGCTGCTCAATATGCAGTCCCTACTACTAGTACTTAATTAAGAGGAAAAAAGAAAAGAAAAGAGCATAAATTAGTTTAAATATCAACAGTGAGAGGTCACAATCAAAGTCAAACCATAGAAAAATATAATATCATATTTTTCTAACCATTCTGCAAATAAAGATCTTTATACTCCACAAAAATCATCATAACATACAATGAAATGCAATGTTTCGTGTAGCTGTTGGAAGATTACATGGTATGTTATAAGTCATCACAGCATACCATCAAAAGGAATACTGCTCATATTAGCATATGGTTGTGTTATTTTACCTCAGAGCAATTATTTGGGCCTACAGGTTCTCTCAAGCAATGAGATATCGCCATGACTGCAGCTTCAATAGATGAATCTTCCCCCTGTTTCAGTCAGCTAACAAAGTCAACCTAGCAAAATATGCTTTTAACGTAATCTTCTGTACTGAGAGGACAATCTACAATGAAGAACACTACAAGCAAGATACAGCTAACCCAGCAACAAGAGAATTTCACCTTCTCTTTCCAGTAGAACATGTTCCCATATTTTCCTGCCAGACGACTCCAGAAGCTACGTGGGATATCTAGATCAACTGAAGCTCCAACATTGAAATTCAATATGTTTCCTGATCAAGGAGAGACGTCAGTAGATATAATTTAAATCAGCTCCAACTAAAAAGAGAAATCTTTTACCAAAGGTAGGGTCGGCAACAAAAACAATTGTCCTATCATCCACTTGCCAGAAATCTTTAATTGCCAGTCCTGAAGCAGTATGAACTTATATTGGTAACTTTATCAAAAATTAGAAAGAACATAAAAAAATATCTGAGTTTTAGGAAAAAGAAAAATAAGAATCATGTGTTGATCACTAACACAGAAACCAAAGGCACACCTGGTGTGTCCGGATAATTCTGAGCTAGAACTCTCAACTTAAATCCAGTATCCTGTTCAATATTAGCAATCTCCATTGCAATTCTTTTCTCCTGGTTTTCAACCAAACAACATTAATCATAGTCCACCACTATTGCCATCATTAAACATATCCCAAAATAGAAATGGTATTTTCCCACATGTAGTCTCAGATACAGCTGCCCAACCAATTCAATGACTACATATATAATAGTTTGTTTTATAAGTATGACTCACCATATCAAGTATCAACAGCAGCACCAATCTATAAGCACGATTGAAGAGTGCAGTAACAATAAATGCAACAGTATTTACTTTCACAATAGCCAAATGGTAGAGACACTCTCCTTTTCTCCTAATGCTTTGAGATATTGAGTGATCAAGAGCAAGTTTGGCTGCTTTGAAATGGTCAGGATTCCAAAACCACATTTCTTATTCTTACAAGAGCCCGGGAAAGCTGTTCCTCATCTATATGACTCTCTTCTTCCTTTAATCAACTTGATTGGGGAAATGGCTCATGTATCTTTTGATGGGAGGATCCTTGGATTGATCATATTCCCTCGGTGCCTATTTTCCTTAACTTTATAACCTCGCCATGGTACTCCTATCTCTTTCGACATTGTCCAAACAAATGGTCATGTATCTTGAAGAATGTCCATTCACATGAAGCTTAATGAATGTTAAGCTATTTAATATGTTTTCTTTCATTTGGCTTCTTGAATCTGTTATTTCCTCTTCAAGCCATAACTACAGAGTTAGTCTTTGGAATTTTTATGTACTTTTACTTGTAAGTCTCTTCTTTTTGGGGGTAGATTTTTATTTTAGTTCCTAAATTATTCGACATATAATAATTAGGTGCTAAACCCTTTTTTTATTACACTTTAGTTCTTAAATCTATAAAACTATTTCAATTTATGAAATTTTTATACAATTGTGAAACTACTGACAGAAAACAACTAAAATTCTTTTTGTTTCATCCATGTTCTGTCTTTAATATAAAAATGAAAAAAAAAAAAATTCTTGAGAACATCTAAAACATAAAAAAACAAAATAATTTATTTATTTCTTTAAGAAATACAGATGATAATAAAACACATTGGGGGGTGGGGCGAAGAGGTCCACTGACCATTTTTGGATTTCTCTTTTCGATTCCTTGCCCTACATAGAAACATTATACCTTTTCTATCATTTTTATCTCATCAACCTTTTTGTTGTTGAATAAAAAATTTCAGTAAAATAATTATTTTTTGAAACACATTTTTAATTTGAAGGATTAAATTGTAATGGAAAAAAGTTTAGAAATAAGTTGCAACATAGTATTGGTAATTTGCCTTTGATAAATGTTTTAGGAAGGTTGTTGCTCCCTCTAAGTTTAAGGATTTTGTTCATACTACAGCCCTTAATATGCTTAATACTAATGTCTTGCTTCAAGATTGCATGCCAAATCATGCTTTATCCCCAAGGTCTGATATGTGTCTTTGTGATGTTGAGTCTCATAACCATCTTTTCTGCATTATGATATGATTTGGACACATTGGCCTAACTTATTTGAGACTTTATATGTTTCCTTGGGTTTGTCCTTCAAATCTGAAGGACTTTATTACTTCTCCTCTTTCCAATGTCCGAAGGAAGGAGGATAAACTGTATAATTAAAATAAAATAAAATAAAATAAAAAAATTAGCATGCCATAACAGTTGAATATATTCTAAGTAAACTTGAATGATTTTCCACGAAGTGGTGCTGAAAGGTTAACAGCAGAAACCCAGATCAATTACCATCCAAAATCATGACATTCTTGATATGTACTTGGTAAATATGAAGCAAAGTGAACTTCTACAAGTATGAACGAGAAAAAGCCATAGGCCAAACCACAAGCTTATTACCAAAAGACACAGTAGACAATTACTACCAAAAAAAAAAAAGAATAAGTAACTGTAAAATATTATAATTCACTACACAAGCAAACATGAGGATTGAAGAGCGCATATTAATCCCAAGAATAAAAAAGATAGAGGAATCCAAATCAAGGAAATAAACACCTATCATTACCTATGATATGGCTGAAGTAAAAAGGGTTGAAAAATGCAGCCACACCTGGCCATCAGAGAGGAATCCAGCTACATCAATGACGGGAGTAAACTCTCTAGGGAGCAATTCTGGCTTGTTAACCCCAGTTTTCGCCTCTGCAAATCCGGACCCTACAAAACTTCGTTTATTAAATCACAACTCTAATATCTTCTGCTGCACAAAGTAGATAGAACACTAAAACACTAAAACAGTGGATACTTTAAGTCATCTTCCATACACAAGCGCGAAAATTTAACAACTTCTGAAGTTTGTAGTACGATAAAATACAGTGAAGGACCTAACCTAACGAAAATACGGAAATTCTTAATTAAATTCAACGAAAACGGAATCGCCTCGAAGCTAGTTGTAGAAAATAGAAACAATGTCTAATGCTGTAAAACATAAGCATCAAAAGGAAGGGAGATACTCACGGGTGAGAATTAAACCAAGGGAAAGAGCTCCTGATAATACGAAATTGAAAGATTTGTATCGAAAATCGGAGAGCCGATTGGTGAAATTTGTTGGTTTGAGGATTGAGGCAGTTGGCGGAGAGAAATGAAATGATGATTTAATGGGTAATAATGAAGGATGCGTGGTTCCCAGAGAGGAAGGAAGATGAAGAAACGCCATGGTTTCACTTTTGTGGGAGCATGCAACTGGAAGTTTAAGACTTCGTTGGGTTGGATAACAGACGTTATCATAATTTATAGCTCATAAATTTTAAATTACGATTATGTCGTCTATTCTGATATAATTTTTCTTTTAAATGAATTATGTAATATATATTGCTAAAAATGTAATTAAAAAAAATTAATCATCATAGTCACTTTTATTTTATTTTATATTTTTTTTTAAAAAAAAAATTAATATTATTAATGTACAATATAACTTTGTTAGTAAAATAATAAATATCTACTTAAAAAATAATCATAATCCAAAAATGGCTAGATTATATATTAACAATTATTAAAAAATTTCAAAATTTTTGTTAGATTTATTAAGAAAGTTATATGAAATTTATTAATTCAGAAAATTGTGTTATGTATTTATATAAATTATTTATTTATTTATTATCCATAATCACTCTTTTTTACTTATCTCTATTTTCGGTTGTCTATTACGATTAGTATTAATTTTACTTTTTTTTTTTGTCGCAAATAGACAGGTTAGCTACCAAGCAATTAATCATCTGAAAAAAAAATAATAATATCTTTGCTTATGAGTAATAAAACTAGTGTTTGAATAATTTTCAATAAAAATATTTTTCTTACAAAACTATTATTCGTTTTGTATTTAGTGAAACTATTTATGAATATTGAAATAATAAAAAAATGTATAAGAAGATAAAAAGATATTTGAATAATTTTAATTGTTAGTTTGATTTTTGTTTTCTTACTTTAAAAAATTATTTTTGAAACTAAAAAGTACATATTAATTAATTTATTAATTTTTCCTTTTAAATATAATTGAACAAATGCTATTTAAAATTATTAGAATTTTTTTTAAAAAAAGTTCAAATTTTAATTTGAATTATTATTTGTACAATAACATTAATAAGTGTGCATATACATATTTATTTGTTTTTTTTTTAATTTTAATAATATTTGACTAATAAATACTACTTTCTATAAAGATAATTTTGAAAAATTGTCTACATTTCTCCTTAAAGGCAAAAAAAAAAAATTTGAAAAGTACATAGAAACATCTTTTTTGTGTTTATATATCTTAAAATTATTATATAAATAATTCACAATGGCACGTTTTATAAATGGTTAAAGCATAACAAAATGAACATTGTCATTCTTTCATTATTATGTTCTTCACAAGCACTACCAGTCGCATTTTTTGACTTCTGTGAGCACCAAAGTTCATCAACCTACTCAATAATTTTTGAACTTGCTTGCAAACTCAAATAGCATATTCTTTACTACCATAAGTTCTAGTAGGCAAGTTATGTATATGAACCAAAATATATTATTAACAATATAAGCAATATATATGTAAGACAAACAATAATTTAGGATAAATTAATTTATTTTTTCTCTGCAATCAATAGTCACACCCATCATATAAACTATGACTTTTAGATTCAGATGTTCATAACTAATACACCATGCAGGAATCAACCATGTTCAAATCTCTTCATAAACCTTTTAGAATACGTAGGGAATAAGGGCCTTAATATCCTTCGGAAAATTATCAAATTTAGAGAGATACCATCTTCTAGTGTTATAACTCTTTACCATCAAGTGAAGAACACTGCTCATGCAAAAATAAGAAACATATAAAGTCTGAAAAATTCAAGAGATTTTCAGGAGTTCTAAAATCTTAAAAAGGTAATGTGGGCATATTATCAAATCAAATAAACTTTCTCTTGGAATCTTGTATTCTTTGCTTTTGTTTTCATCACCTATGAGTTTAGAAAGAAGGTAATGGTGATAGAAGTTGCCAGAAATCCCTACTAGAAATAACATCACTCCAGACCACTTTAAATCTAGTTCAGGCCCCATCAATCCTTTTGTAAGATGTTGAGTATACAATATGAATGCACTTGACAGAAAGTAACTTAAACTGCCAAGAATTATTGTGTCAAGATTCATTCTCCCACTATATTTGTGTATAAATAGCACTTGGATCATGGAAATTTTCAAATTAGATTACAAAATTGCAGTGGTGGTAATGAGATCTGGTAAAAAATTAAGAATCAATTATCTGACCTCAAAGTTTCTCTTGAAGAAATGGAGAGTAAGGCAGAGATCATCATCATCGTGATGAGGAAAGAGTGCGAAGTGAGACATACCAGAAATGCAGGAGTCTACAGGACAAGCATCCCGATTCAACTTCTCACCTTAATCTTTTTAAATCTAAATTGACTTTGTGAAGAA